ATTAACAAAATTAGATAATTCTATCTGCGAAGCAATTCGATGAAATCTAAATTATAGACCCTATTTAATTTTCCATTCGTCATTGTTTTTATAATCTTTATACTTTTGATTCAAAAACTAAAATAATCCTTGTTGATTTGATTCTATATCATCTTTATCTTCTTACTCTTCTTCCTTATCTTCAGAGAGATATATTTTTTTAATTTATTTGATCAGATATTCTTAATCAAACTAAATTTTTGAGAGCACACATTTAGACTAGACTAATTTTTATTTTATTTCTCCCTAAAAAAAATTGAGAAAATCGCAAACATTTGTTTTTTATTATATATAGCTATCATCTTTTTCATTTTTTACTAATTAAATATCGGTTTCTATTCTATTAAAGTAATCTTTAAATGACTCTTTTTCATTTTTTTATAAATTAGCTGTTGTCCATTGCAATTATTCAAAAATTTGAATTTGATTTTCGAAATGACTATTAAATTTCTTATATGTTTTTGTTTGTATATTTTCATTATATTTCTGAATGAGACAAAGTTTATCTGAGAATTGTTTAGTTTCTTCAAGTATTTAGCAAAATAAATGTTTTTCTTTTTTTATTTTTGATGATGATAATTTCAGAATAATGATGATGGTTTATAAATCTTTTACATGTTCTTAATGGCCTTTAATCTGGAAATAATCAAATTTATTAAGATTGTTAGTTATCAGTAACAAAAATTTCATCATTTTTATTTTAATTATGCTGATGGTCATTTTATAATGTATTTTGAAATTCTATTTTTTTATTTTATAACTCCTCCAGCAATTCCCTAATTGTTATTTTTAATATCTCTAAATTTTGATTTTAAGATTTATTTAATAGCTCAACAACCATCTCAATATGATTGATTAATTATTTGAAATTTTCTATATTATTACTATTGTAATTTTTCTCAACAATTTTTAATTATTTCCACATATTCTTTTATTTTTCTATCTCAAAATTCAATTCTGATCGATTAAATTGCTTATTAGACACAGTTTTTATTGAATTTTAAATTGAAGCACTTTCTATTATTGCCATAATTCTTTCTGTAAGAAAGGTAGAACAAGATTCTTCCTTTAAAAATTCTCCAAATTCCTTATCAATTAATTCTAAATCTATTTTTTCTAAATCAATCAATTATTCTTCTAAACTTAATACCAAAATTAAGTATTCTAATATTCCTTTTTATTTTGATAACTTATTTTAATAGTCTTGCTCAGTAATTTACATGCTTGTTAATTCAGCAATAATTTCTTTGTAAAAATTGTCACGACAGCGAAATATTTTTTTTTTTGGATAATTGTTAATTACATTAACAAGAAACTCATTCAAATCGATAACTTTTTACAACTATTGAAATTCTTCCAATTAGGCTAGAACTATATTTTAAAAGGACTCCTTCAAAGCATTTAGCTGTAATTGAAGTTTTAAATTATTCAATCTTAATTTGTATACAAAATAAAATGATAGCATATTCGAAATTTGTTATTAAATTTCCCAAATTCGTAAACAGACTCTAATTCATACTATGAAATTAAAATTGCCTTAAAACTAAAAATAGATTCATTAACATCTTTTTGAATTTTTTCAACCATGTGATCATATTCAAAATATAGATGATTCAATAAACTCTGAAAACATTCATTAAATTTACACTTTTTAAGTGACATAATTTCTAGCCTTAAGATTTAATTTTTAGAATCTTCAATAAGTCTTAAAATTCTTTCAGCTTTTTTCAAAAAGCTCTTTTA